GCGACGGCGGCGCGGGCGTGCGCGCGCGCGTGCGGCGCGGGGAGGATGGCGAGGAGCGGAGGCGGCGCATGGTTGCTTGCAAGGGCCGGGAGGGGACGGCCGGACTCCCTCGCCCGGGGACGAGGGAGGAGGACGGTGGGTAGCCGCGCGGTAGCCACGAGCGCGGGTAGCCACGCGCGGAGCGGTGAGCCGCGACAAGGCGCGACCAGACGCGCGCGGCGTGGCCAGTTTCGGGTGAGCGGATTTCTGCGAGTCGGAAAGTAGGAAAGTACTGTATATAGTATTAATAAATAAATAATAAATAGATAATAAATAAAGCGACATTGGAGGTCTCACAGGCGGATGGAGAAGAAGCGATTGTACACACTGTGTGTACCCTACCCAGGGTACCAATCGCTTCTTCTCCATTGCTTTTCTGCACCTGTGTACTACAGTACTACACCGGTGCAGAAAAGCAATGTCGGAAAGACGGGGACGGAGGTGCAAGTCAGGTTGGTTTGCAGTTTGCAGTTTGCAGTTTGCAGCCGTCTGTAATGCGCAGACTCAATCTGGAAGCTTTACAGAGGACTCCATGCGCAGTCTCAATTACTTGTAGGAAGCTTTGCGGAGGACTCAATCTAGAAGCTTTACAGAGGACTCAATGCGCAGTCTCAGTTAGGAAGCTTTACAGTCGGCGCCACCACGGGCACGGGGTTTGGGAGAAACACAACAAAAACTCACAGAGGGGGCACAGAGCTAAGACCCTTTCTGTTTCAAATACTGTAGAGGGGGCACAGAGCTAAGACCCTTTCTGTTTCAAATACTGTAGGTCCGAATTTTAATTGTGAGTTTTTGTTGTGTTTCTCCCAAAACAGAAAAAGTCCATTTCACCTCTTGATCACTGCAAAAATGCACCTGATCGCCCCCCTAAACGCAAAACGCAAAATGGCCCAAAGGATTTTTATTGCTGTAATTCGGTTTTTTTATTTATTAAAAAAAGTGTGCCGTAGACGTTGCTCGCAATGCGGCCGTGTACTATGCGGAGGAGCACGATCTGTTTCCCGTTCCAGGTCGTTCCGCTTCCAGGCCGTTCCGCTTCCCGTCCCGCCCCTTCCTCCTCCCGCCCCAAACTCCACCCGAGATATCTTCCGCTTCGCACTCCCACCTTGCACTTCGTACCCTGCACCTCATCACATGACAAGCTCCACACTTCCCCTCCACGAAGCGAATGGATTAAC